CCCAAAGGAACCCAGGGCTGTCAAAAGATGCAGTGCTGCGTCACCACATAGCTGATGGCCAGGAGCCAGCTCTGTCAACACTTGGCTTTGTACTGTCCGGGGGAGAGAAGCTGATTCTTCAGCAGTGTCTAATCAGTTTCAAGCAAATCTGGAAGATGTTACTAGAAGACAAGATGAGATCCAGGCTACAGCAGCCTCTGCATAGAAAGAAGTAAAGATTTCATTTGAGAACAAAATTAAAGAGGTGGAAACAACACTTGACAGTTTCAACATGATTATAACTGTGAATAAGAAGGAGTGCCCTACTGGTTAGGAAATGGTACCTAAATTGGTTCCTAGAGAAAGTACCTTCTTATGTCCCCTCTACTGTGACAACAGAGATACCAGGGGATTAGATTTCCGAGTGGACAATGGAAAATTTAAGTTCAACAGATCCTGTCTAATTCTTTAAAAGAAACCAAAGACAGCTAAGTTAAGAGAGTAAAGATGACAAGGAATACTTACCTAAAAATCACAGCAGGTTTATATATATATATATAATTTATATATATATATAAAAGGCAAATACATACTTTCAATCTGTGGGACAGCTGCCACCTGAGTCCCTTGAAATGTTTCAGAAACTAAATGTTTTCATATGCAACACAGCTACCAGGGAGCTCAACATTCATCTTTCCAGTGAATCATCTGGAAACCTCCTAAAAGACCTGGATCATACAGGTGAAATTCTGAAAATTTTCTTTGGGCTTTTTCTGGAAAACTCTATTTTTTTCTGGCACTATATAGCAAAGGTTTGCCACAAGAGAATGAAGGTAGAAAGACAAACCTCTCCTTCTGCGGGCACCTGACCTGGCCCACAGATCATTACCCCACGTATAAGTAAGAAATACACTTTCTCATTGCAGGACTTAGCTGCAAGAACAAGTGTGTCTTCTCATTACTTAGAACTGGAATGGAAATAGAAAAGTGGTAGAGGAGATCCTGACACCTTCTGTCGCTGCTACTGAGAAGGCTCTGCAGAGGTAAGAGAAGATGTGTCTCTGAGAGAGTCATGTGCTTGACCTAAAGTACAAACCAGAAAGCAATCCCTAACATTAATTTAAACCAGTCAGATAAGGAGTTTTATAAAACAGCTGTTACTGGGAAAAAGCAGGGGAGGATGGGGGGAGGGAGGAGAAGGAGGAAAAAAGAGAGGTTTAGATCCATAGAAAATTCTTCTACCAACCTGAAGGAAGCCTTCAGTTGCTGTTATGGGTTATGAACTAGAGGGAAGAAGTCAGGAAGGAGCGGAAATATGCTGCTTTTGTTGCCTTTCTCCCAGCTGCTCAGTGGAAACAGTGATTTTCCAACATCTGCACCAGTACAGATAACCCCTCAGCAACCAAGGCAGCAGCATCTCCAACAAATGCCCCATCATCTTTTTTATTTTTTTCTCTCCTATCCAGCATGCTATAATTATGAAATTTGGTTTATTTTCTTCTTATGACAGGGAAGAACAACAATTTCCAGTGAAAACAAAATGCTTTCCTTATTTCAGAGACTTAGAGTACCAGGATGTATTCTTCTTCCTAATCATCTCAGAAAAAAAAAAAAAAAACACCTTTTTTCCACACTTCAGATATTTTACAATATTTTGTCTGTTTTCTCTCAGAGATCTCTTTCCTTATTTTCTTCACTTTGATTACTACCCATGTTACTGATGACATGGACATTGGCTCCAATGCATTAAAGGGAGCAGAGTTTATCCTTTGGCCTGTAGGGTTTCATCTATTAAATTTCCCCAACTTTATTTCAGTAAAGCCTGGTGAAATATTCTTTCACCTGTCGTGGCAATTAACCCAAGATCTGAGTTGAGAGAAATTCCCCTACCTCTCTGTAAAATACTGTAATTCATCTTTTTCACTTTACATGAAGATTTTTTTCATGGTCTGTGAAGCAGGTCGGGTTTCCTTAGATACTTTGTCAGTAGCTGAATGGGTAGGATATCATAAACTCTAATTTGCAGTCTCCTGTAACTTACTGTATAAAAAAATACTGAAAGGTTACTATCCACTTCAGTAAAACCTTTAAATGGCTGCATGCTTAGCCAGCTTTGGTCACAGAGTCTTTGCTTTAGCAAAGTCCTGCAGGAATCCTGACCTGACGTCTACCAAACAGTGGGGGCCACAGAGCCTGAGTGAGGTCCTGGCTCACATCTGGATATTTTGGATTCTTGAATTTTCCGTCTTCTATTGCCTGACATCACACATTGAAGTTATTTAACCAAACTCTACAGTCACTGGATCCAAACCTGTTCAGAATTTGTATGTCAGCAGCTCTAAATACTAGTGTTCCAGAGCCCTGGTACATTTTTTTAAATTAGTACACAGCACTGCATCATACTTTAATAATTGCTTTTAGCCTCTTTCCATTGTTCATTCCTCCTTTCAAATGAGTAATTTCATTCCCTTTCTTCTCTTTTACTCTTTTCCCACTTCATTGTCTCATCAACAGGAGTGGTCAGGGCATGACCATTTGAAAGATATGAAAGCTACTGTTCTCGCTTTCTCTACTCTGTTTCCCTCACCAAGGTTTCACATTGCTCATCAAAATATTTTTGGCAGGGATGGCATCCTCTTCATTTGCTTCTGAACCTTGCCCATCCCGGGAGGTGCAGAATCTGTCCTGCCAGGTACAAAATACCCTCTAGCAGCACTCTAAGCATTTTGTTTCAAGACAGACATCAAACTGACTGTGGACCCCAAAAGTTGCTGGAGCAGCTACAATGGAAACTAGGAAACTGGCAAACATGACAGACCTTCCCTGGGAAATGTATAGGAGATCTCAGTGCGGCTCCTAGCAGAAGATTCCCATAACAAAACCTAACACCACAACTGACACTACAAACCTTATTACTAAACTAAATTACAGCTTAGCTGAGGAAGCAAAGAGTGAACAGACATAAGCTATGGTAAGAAAAACTTAGGCTGAAGGTTTGTCTCACCCTGTTTCAAAACAATACTGTCAGAAACCATGAGGTAGTATGGCTGTGTTGCTTACCTTGGAAGAAACAGAGGGAATGCTACAAGTTCATCTGCTTCTCTCAGTTTGGACTACCACAACTTTCTCATCTTTGGGAGATGATCCCAAGCAGCCACTGAATTCTCCATGGTGAGGAGCGTGGGCTGTTTTATACTACAGTTCTCAAGGGGGAAAACTGCCCTGCAGATAAAGACTTGAGTCTGCAGCCATCTTCCACCAGCACAAAGCATACAACTGCGCAAGAAACCTTTTCATAACCAGGAGGAAAATGAGAGAAAAAGACCAACCCAAATTCTTAAACGTATTCAGACTCAGCTGTAATTCGGACCAAGAGATAGACTGGCTCTTTCTTATCCCTGAGGCACATTCACCCCTCTATATAATTAAGCTCTTGGGCTGTTTTGTTAGTGTTGAGAAGCAGGCTTTGCCAAAAGTCATCTGGCTTTCTCCCTTAAAACAGTGACAGTTTTTTTTCCCCCTCCTTGCTAAAGAAACCTTTCAATTTCATTGCTTATGTGCTTTAGGTATAATTATTTTTTTTTTTACCTTTCACAGTGTTGTTTCCTACCCATAAAATTATACAAAAATGGTCATCAGTGAGCTTGCTGAAAAGACCAGCCACCATACACTGCAAAGAATAACCTTAATATTTATAAAAAAAAATAAAGACCATACTTCTTTTAAAGATCTTGCTCTAAACAAACTGAATTATTCATGCATAGAATTGTAGAGCATTAGAACACCTGTTTTCAATCATGCATAATGTAAAATCACTCATTACCTCACAAGAGCCTCTACATCTCCAGCAATCAAATGGCATTGAAACAGCAAAACAGGTGCTTGGCAGGTGGATCCAAACAGATGTTGTGGGCTTGGTTGTCTTTTCTTGTACAGGTGTGGTGATCTTGTTTTCAACGGCATAATTGCTATTTGAATAGGTGATATTTAATTCTTACATGCTTTAATATTTATTTTTTCCTTCTTCAATTCCTTTTTCCACTTTGCAAAGGCACAGGCTCGAAGCAGCTTATGAGATGTGCGAAAGCTCCCAGCTGAAATGTGAGGCAGAGTAGCGCAACGGAAAGTACAGTTCTTCTCACCCAGGCATTCCTACTGACGTGAATCCTCGCCTGTGAAACTTTGTCCCCTTTAGATAACCTGTGTAAAACCACTGCAGAGACTGCCAGACCCTCAGCTAGGGACAGGGGTTCCCTTCCTGATGGATATTCGCACATCAGGTGTACAGAGATAGGATAAACCTTCATGGTGAGACAAAGGGGCACAAAATCACAAAATGGGATATTGAGACAAAGGGGCACAAAATCACAAAATGGGATATAGAAACTTTTATAAGTAGTTTTAAGTAATGTTAAGTTTGATGGCTTTGTAACAGTAGCAATGGAAAATTACTGAGGTGCATGATACATAGAGAAAAAAAAATTAGAGTACAACTAGAGAACATACTAAGAATTCTCACAAGATAAATCGTTATAGTTGGCCTAGTTTTAAGAAAAACAGTCTAGAAGAACAGGACACAGGGATAAGGAGTATCTGGGAATGGCAGGTGTCCAGAATGGGCTACAGTTAAACTAACTAATAAGTAGGAGGATAGGAGGATTATTATGTCTCTGGTGCTAACGAACCAATTAAACTGGTATGAGCATCTACTGCGCGTGCTTCAAAGGCTGCCAGAAGTGATGAAGATTGTTGGAAGAAGTAACCGACCCTCAGAGACCACCACCACAATTCTGTACGCATGCGGGGAACTCTCTGGAAAATGATGTAATCCATACGTAGCCTCATGAATATGTATGTATGCCCAGTGACTATATAAGGGTGGCTTGTATAGCAATACAGGGACACACGTTAGGAGGATTTATCCCCCGTGTCTCCCGGCGCCGCAATAAAGAATACCTGCTTGTCAGCTTGAAAACTTTGTTGGCAAGTTTGTTCCTGGAGTCTTCTCCGAATCAATGGAAATAATTCAGACCTGGGAATGGAGAATATTTCTGCATGTTTTTCCAGGATTCAATGACACATGATTCAAAGGTGTCTGAAAATGCCAGCAGCCCTATCACCCTGATGTTGTAAAGGAGCAATACTTTACAAACCTTGCCTCTGCTTCTGCCCAGACTCCTGCCTTTCATGTGGGCTCAATGGGAGAGTGCCGCAGAGCAGTGGCCTTTGCTAAACCAGCCTGTGGATGCGGCACTTCACAGAAGCTGCAGAAAGTACTGCAACTGCAAGGAAAAAAAAAAAGAGAGGAAAAAAAAGAATAACGACCCCCCCTGTTAAATTTACAGAAAATGAATCAGCAGTGGCCAAAAAGTACTTTGGTGCTTATAGCCTTCAAGCAGTGATTACCAGTTGGCCAAAGCAGACATGTTCCCACTCCGACTTCAGTTTTCAGCAGCAAAGTGGAAAATCATTACAAACAGCTTTAAATTTGACACCTTGTCTAGCTTCTCAACAGACTGGCCAAGGACTGACAAACTGTGGTGGCTGTTTATTGCTCTGACAAATTACTTGCACCCAGGTTGCATATGCTTCTCATGGCCTGCTGTCTCGGGGACAGAGACATAGACATGCGATGCAGTAACTCACATCAGCATTTCACCCAGGTGGTTTAAGAGTAAAACAATTTTTCATGGTTAGTATATAGTGCTTCTAGGATGTGTTGTCTATTATGGACCAGAGCAGTAGTTTTTGGACAACAGTGTGTCACCATGGGATTCTCCCTGATGGCACAGTGGTTTGCTCAGCACTGATGTGCCCTTAAAGATGTGCTCCAGCTCAGTGCAGAAGAAAATTGGCCTCTGGACCAAATCCAGAACATGGGCAAAGGGAAAGCGCTTTCCACAGATAGGTGAAGACTACCCAGTGGTACCCTGAATAGTTGATTCAGGGTGCGAGTGGACTTCTCAAGGCAAGGAAATTTAAAATCCATTTTGGGCCTAATTTTTGGATGTCATAGCTCATTATTTAAAAACAGCCAAATGGTAGGTAAGAAAAACTAGGTCTTATAAATTGGGTAATATTAAGAAGCAGACAAACTATATACAATATAGTCTGTTTGCTTAGGTAACAAAATGACATCTCCCTTACACCCATCACAAAGGCTGTCAAACATCTCATGTTGTTCAACTACTCAGTAACATATAAGGAAACATTATTACAATTTTTATTTTCCTTTTGTTAATTTGGATGCATAAATAAGTAGATAGTGGGATTGTTAGTCAGAGTACCCATAGTTCCTTCCTCTCCTCCCACTCTACCTGGCTGTGAAGGAGAGCAAAATACAGCATGATATTGCTACTAGCAAGGTCCTCCCACAGATAGACTGATATGCTGGAAGAATATATACATATAAAATATGTGTATGTATATATATATGTAAATACTAGAGATAATAATAGCAATATTCATGGAATATGGTCACCATCAGTTCTTATTCCAAGATGACAGAAAATACTTTGTATAACCATACTAATTCAATTATTTTGCCTCTGTATACTGTAAAAATTAACTGTATTTTTTCAGTGTCAGATGTCTCATTTTTATTTGAGTATAAGCATCTCTCATTATTTTCAAGCAATAATGGTGAAAGAACCTGGCAAATTAGGGGATTTATTCTGGATTTACCTCAATGAAATAGGTGCTCAGATGCCAGGGTAATAGGAACAGTTAACGAATCTGTCCTGAACCAAGTATGACAGAATTTAGATGACACAATTACCTTAACAAGTAGGATACTGAGCCTGATAACTACACATAAATATGTACTGCATATATCTATGTAGATCATACTTACACAGACAAGAAGTACCTCTAGCATTAATTTATGTAGCAATTAAAAAAAGTAAAGAAAGACTGAGAAAAAAAAATTCTAACAGTACACGATGGCTTACCTATCCAAATTGAGCGCATGCCTCAAAACAGAAACTCTTCCACAAATAGCAGTACCTGTCACAAGCTCTGTGCACCCTCCTTCACACCAGTCCTTCATCCTTCGCCCAGGCTCCTTCTGTAGGGAGCACATGGAAAGGAGAACCCATTCACAGCTGAAAAGCTGAGTGAAGGCTTAGGCTCCAGAAAACCTCCCTTCAGAACATTTCCTTAGAGACTGTGAAATTCTGGGTCGGATATGTGTGATTTCTGATTTAACAGAAGTTACTTTAAAAGGAAGAACAGCATAGAGAAACAAAGGAAGAATCAGTGGATCCAGGGTAAGATTAAATCTCAGCAAACACTTCCCAAATTCCATTTGAGAATAATCTCTGAACTTCTTTTTTTATCAGAAAATATAAACTCTTACATTTGACAGAACAGGTCCATCTCACCTGCTCCAGCATAACCTCGGCCTCAGCATCTACAGATGTCCCCCAGTGCTCCTCCTTTGACCACCCATCCAGCCCCAGGTGCTGGAGCTCGTTCTCATCTCAGGATGAGGTGTTGGGGATTTTTTTGAACATTTCCACAAACGACTATTTGATCTGGAGTGCTGCCTTCAGGAAAAGAAGCTGCTCTCATTCTCCTTGTAAGAATGTTTGACCACATTTTGCTGCAGGATCTTTTCCTACCTCATTGTCTCCATGACTGAGCTTCAAAGGACACCACACTGCTCTTCCCTTTGACATCCCTTACCAGCCACACCGCTTGGCTTGTGATAGGTCTGTTTTTCTCAGCAATATCTTTCTGTTCATGCCTCATACTTAGTGTCTCAGCTGATCACAGAAACAGCATGGATTGGTCTCTCCAGGATGCTTCTGATCAATTTTCTTTTCACGTGAAGCATGAATTATTAACAACCAGCAGCCACTCAAAACCAACTCAATTCCAAAGTTTTCCACAGTTTACAAAAAATCTAAATAAATTAATAACTCCAACATTTTCCTCAATATTTCTAAGTGTGGGCTGTGTAAAATCAAGGTGAGGGGACATGTAAGATAAAGAACTAAAATGTATTCCATTCACAGGCCAGTCAGCTATTATGTGCCTAAGGATAAAGAATTAATTTAATATCACTGTGACACTGTTTATTAACCAATAAAGTGGTCATATGGATCTTCTCAGAGATGTTACAAGGTGGTTATGAAGTATGTGAAAAAATAAAGCTTTTTCCCAGTTTCAATGCACCATACACATCCCACTCATCTGAGATGTGCATTCAGAAGCTATAGACTCATACTAGAATCATAGAACTGTTTGGATTGGAAGGGACGTTAAAGGCCATCCAGTTCCAACCCCCATGCCACAGGCAGGGACACCTTCCACAGATCAGGTTGCTCAAAGCCCCATCCAACCTAGCCTTGAACACTGCCAGGGACGGGGCAGACACAGCTTTCTCTGGGCAACTTGTGCCAGTGCCTCACCACCCTCGTAATGAAGAACTCCTTACTAATATCCAAATCTACCCTCTTTCAATTTAAAGGCATTCCCCCAGTCCTATCACCCTTTTAAGAAGTCCCTCTCCAGATTTCTTGTAGGCCCCCTTTAGGTATTGAAGATTGCTATTTGTTCACTTAGTACTGCCTCCGGAGCATGGTGGGCTGCACACTCATCCCTATGGTGTGAACAAAACTAGTGGCTTACAGATATTTTGTTTGTTTGTTTGTTTTGTTGTGGGTTTGTTGGTTTTTTTTTTCCATGAAATCAGGTTGTCATGGGTCAGCAAGAAAAGATGAAACCACTGTTAAGAAATCCACAAGCTGGACTTAAATGGGAGTTTTTCTCCTGTTTTTATGTACTGGGTACTGTATGCTGTGGGGAGATCAGATGGCAGCTGACAGAGGCTTAACACACCTCCTGTGCATGCACAGAGGGCTAGGAAATATGGATGGATGGGGACTATTCTCCAAAAGCCTGTCGCACAAGGTATTGAGAAGTTGGCAACTTTAGTGCTTCTCTACCTTGTGCTCCCAGACTCCCAACACAATGTGCCAGGTTTGCGGTGGGAGAGATCAAACCCTGTGGCTGGATTTCACACTTTGCAGCAAAATTACTACCACCTAAACCTTGCTTACAACGCCTAAAATGAAATCTTCAATCAGTTTAAACATGCTTTAGTACTACACATATTGCTGAAGTACAGTATACCTCTACCATAGAACAAAGTTGCAAATCACCCAGTGTTGCGAAATTTAAGCAGGCCTGTGGTATCCAGGGGTTGATTATCCACATTTACATGGGCTTTGCACCCTCTGACTGCAGTGGAGTGACTCCTGCTTTTCCCCTATGTCAGCATGGGGAGACCCGAGTCCCCCTGTGAACACTGAAACTAGGCACTGGAAGTAGTTATTCCAGCTCTTTTAGGTACACACTGATAGGTTTGTCCAGACATGTGCGTATACACACACACACACACACACACACGCTCATACATATTTATATTATATATATATTAATTATACATGTATTTACATAAATGGGAATGAAGCATTAAGTACCCCACTGGGTGCAAACCCTGCAGATCAAGCTGCATGCAAGTGCAGGCTCCCTTGATTTTCACCCGATAGCAGCGGGGCTGGGGCTGCTGGTGGCTCATGGCGCGGGGCCGCCCCAGCAGCTCCTCTTTCAGCCCGACAGCTGCAGATCCCAGGTGGTCTGACATTTGAGATAGGGGCTCCGGGTAAGACTGAAGGTGTTTTAGGAGAGAAGGAGGCTGCGAATAACACCGAGCCCTCATCCAGATGGAATCATTCACAGAACAACCTGAGATACTCTTTTAGTGTCCATATGTCTCCCAGGTTCCAAAGGCCATGCTCCATTGATTTATTAGAAATCTGCTTTTTTCAGCATTAGTTATTTCCTAAACAGAGTATAATGTGAGATTCACTATCATCTGACACACTCTTTTTTTAAGAATCAGTTTTTCGCATAAGATAGTCTTCAGAAATGCTTCAAGTAAACGTCATATTAGAAAGTACTTTGGTGTGGGAGTCGCCTCTTCATGTAGCCTTTAAACAAATTTCTTTCTGACACATTGAGTGACAAAACATTTTACAGGGCATTTCTAAGATGAGTAAATGATTGAAGCCATGGTACCAGTAGAATAAAAGCCATCAGATACAACTATGCTAACAGTTTGCCTTACGCTTATTTCTTCCTTTGTATTAGCCTGAAAGAATTATTTTATTGTTTTAGCACTGCAAACAGTTGTTATTAGTGTATCTTATTTATAGTCAGTTCTTTGAAGCACTATAGTAATATAGAAAAATATCAGTTATTTCATCACACTGGTGAATTTAATGAACCTGAAGGTGTGTGTTATTTTAGCACTTGCTGTAGCTCCTGTGAAAACCCAATGGTGCTAAAATCTGTAAACCTGTCACTGCTTAAGTAATAACCTTGTTAAAAGCATCTTCATTTAACTTATTTCAGCTTTTGCAGAATGCAGGTTTTATTTTATCAGTGTAGGGAATAGGTGTTTCCAACCAAACCACTTACTGTAAATATAGTTAATTGTAGTTCATTAATTTATTCTCAGTGTTATTGCTTTTATTTTAACACTTAATTTAAATTAAGCATTGTCTAGAATTGAGTTCCTATTTTCGATTTTTTTAAACAAACTCCTAATTTATATAAAATATCTTTGGTTAGAACAGTAAATTTTATCCTGCAATATGGAAAATGCTCTTTGAATTCATTAATATCCCTTTATGCTGCAAGAAATGAGCTTTCTTCCTTAACAGTAGGCAGGAAAACAAAATGAGGTGGTTTTTTTTAATCTTACCACTGTGAGATAGGGTTTCTTCAGTTCATTTAAAAATATAGAAGAAATGAGATATTGGTGGCATGTGTTCCAAATTATCAATTGATCCCTGCATATGTACATCTACAATTATTGAAATTCTGGCAATAAAAAAAATGGGAACTCCCTGCTATTTAGCACCATTCAGCAAAAGAGAAGTGTAATGTCCACCATCACTTTCTTATTGCATCAGTGATACTTCCTACATTATTACATTGTGGAATTGTTTGAGACAAATGCTAAAAGTACCTGGTTCCTAGTAAATTCTTACAAGGTGGGCAATTATCCATCTATTAAATACTTTCTTCTTTGAGACCTGCTATGCCACCCAGTGCTGTATGGCAGACACAATGCATCTCAGGGATAAAGTCCACAGAAACTGTTGCTGACTATCGATACAGGTCCCTGCTCCTGAAGGCAGAGAGACCCAAATGTGGTGGATGCTTTGAAATAATTATCAGAATTAGCTACCCAGGTTGCTTCTATTAGGTTAGCATTTCATTGGGGGTTTATTTATCCCTCACAAGCCCATAATTTAACCCTTTTTCTCAATGCGGTTCTGTTTCAGTGTTTATTGCTCCATGCTCCAGTGTAGGACCACAACTAATATAAATCAGAGCACCATCATCAACGGGAGTGCACCATTCTTGATGTTCACTAAGCACAAAGCTGACCTTTGCTATTTAATCACTCCTATCATCAGAAGTTTCTGGCCCAATCTAACTTTGTTTCAGTTTACAAACAAGTCAAAAATGCTTGTAAATTTCATCTTTTTCCTGGTTTTGGTTCCAAAACCCTAAGTGGGAAGGGTGGCAGTGCATTGTTTCTTGAGTGGTGATAGTACCTCTGCTTGGGTCCCTCACAGCCAACAAGAGTGATGCTGTATGAGTTATTCCATACTTGGATATTAGGAAGAAAAGATGGGTGAGAATGGTCAGTGTGCAACCTCTGAGACAGGAATGAAGAACAGAAGTGGGACTGAAAGCATCAGCATCCCTCAGTGCCTTTACAAGCATCTCAAAGCCAAGATGTGAGCATCTAGATCTGATCTTGAACTGGGGAAAAACAGCAAAGCAGATCAAAGAGGTGAGGGGTAGGAGAAGGAAAGACACACTGCCTACGTGCTGTGTCTACTCTACAGCAGCTTCACAAAAGAATAGATCTTTGACAGACCAAAAGAGTGTAAACATTTCTTAAGAGCTATGGCCAGAGAAGGAGGAGGGGAGCCAAGCTACCAGCTCCTGTACCTGACTATAGGATCAGGATTTAGGACAGAAGTTAGGATGCTTCAAATCCCAACATCTGCAGGATGTCTTCAGGATCTGAGAAACCTGACTAAGTAACTGAAAAGGAATCCAGTTATTTAAACTAAGGCTGGGATTATGTTTATATTTGTTTTGCTTGTAACCTTTTTGATAATTGCCAACTATGATTTAGATATAAAAGTAAATCCTCTATAAATACATGCATTATTTTGGAGCAGTTTGTGAGCTTAGACCTGGGAGCTCCACTGCCTCAGAGCCATGGGTTCATGAACCCAGTGTGGCTGGGGTCAGCATCAGCGTGCTTCTGGAGCTCCTGCCTAACTCTGTTTCACCCTTCCATAAATGTGTTTGTGAAACTGGATTATGAGGTCTTACTTGTACTGGACTTAGCTGTATGTGCTGTTAAAAGGAACCTTGAGCTTTTTCTGACCCAAGACCAGAAAACCTTCCTGAACCAAACATCTGGCCTGTTTTCAGAAACCCTACTATTTCTCCTGACATGGTATGATACTGTAATCCATGCAGAAAAAAGAAAAGACAACACACAATGTATACCCAGCACTGATGAGACAGAACTGAGTACAGCTGTTGGAGTGAGGATGGAGAAAAGCAATAATGGCATCACCATTCTTTTGAACCCTGCAGAACAGGGCAGTCCAGCAGCAAAGCTGGGGAAGGGAATTTACCTTTCTGTGAAGACCATCATAAACCAGCCCAGCGATGGGTTTCATACACATTTATACTGTATTGACTTTAGCTGGTTTATAACTAAAGCTACGGCTATTTATCCACAGTATTGAGAGACAGAATAATTCCAGGTAGATTTTCACATTAATGATCTTTTTATAATATAAAGCCAGCACAACATAGATCTGTATCTATT